ATAGTAGTACAACGGTAAAAAGTCTGACGAAAACGGACGTCGGATGAAGAAGTTATGAATTTTTAACGGATTTCCTGTCCCGGTCTGTTAAAAAATAATAATATAAAAATTAAAGTCAAAGTTAGCCGACGAAGTCTAAACGAAAGTTGTAGAGCGTAATTTTACCTACGCGTGCATATAAAGAACGTCAAAAGCGGAGCTCGTATGCGAAAGTTATGGATTTTAGAAGTTTTGGCGCGAAAATCAAGAAATTATTTCAAAATCTGAGAAATTTCGCATAGGCCACGTCACCTTCGCTGTATGAGTGCCACGTGTCCGAAATTGGTGAGTCATGCAAGCCACGTGTCCGAAATGTTGCTGAGTCATCCGCACCGGAGAGCTGATCCGAAGCGGTCCAGTAGAAGTGTGACGCGTGCCTCTTCCCTCGTGCGTCCGAACCTTCGCAGGAGCCACGAGCCTCCCCTCCTCGGATCCGGACTTCGGTCCAATCAGAGGCTGCCAGTGAGGCCTCGCATGTGCAGCCCATGTGATCCCACTCTCGCATCTGCTGCCACTTGGGAGCTTCTCAGCCGTCCGATCAGAAGCCTCCCCCTATAAATAGAAGGCTGCGAGCCTTCTCAGATATTTTTAAGAAATTGTCCATTTTAGCCCCTCTATCCATATTTCTTTCATTTTAACATCCCCCAAAGCCCCGGTATCGATTATAACCCCCAGAATACGCCACGAAGTGCCCGAGAAGCCCGGAAAATTTATCTTTTCGGTTTCGAAGCCCGACTTTTGCAGAGCCCGGTTTCTCAATAAAACTCTCGGTTTTTTATTAGAAACGATCGTTTTAGGAAACGAATTGCTGTCCGATTTTCATTAAATCAGGTGAGTGTGTAGCTACTTTCACCTTACACATAGATATGAAGTATTTTACATAAAATACGTGATGTGTGAATATATATTGTTTGATTATTTGAGATGGGTGTTGAAGGGATGATTTATACAGGTTTTTAAATAATTTAAACTGTATATGTATTTTTATCTACAAAATATGTTGGGTAAAACATGGGTAGATGAAATAGTGGGTGTGATGAAAGGTGAGTTGGATAAAGGAGATGATCAGTAATATTGATTATGAGTTGAGGGTGAGTGGTGAAATTTGAGAGAATCACTTACCCAAAATGTTGGCCCCCGTCATTCAGCAGAGTATGGATGACAACCATGGACTATTCTAGACGGTCTGTGGAACACTAGCAGGCCCGCAACCTGTAGGTGTATAAACTATATGTTCATCTGTTGTACTCTAAAAACCCATTGACATGTATTGCAGGGGCGTTCCTGTAAATAAATATTGTCGATAAATGAGAGCTATGGACTTTGCACATGTTGAATAAACCTTGGCAGCTATGGACTTAGTGCCCGTTGTATAAACCCCGGTGACGATGTGACTTCGTGTCTATTCCTTAGGATGAATCCTTAGGAAGGAGTGATAGTTGATTCTTAGGGTAAACCCTTAAGAAATAAATAAGATAATGGGGTTGGGGTAATTTGGTTGACTGATTGATGTTTAAGCATATTAAATTTATGTATTGTGGGTTGAAAACCATATATGCTCACCAGGCTTCCAAGCATGACCCACTCAGCTTTTTATATTACAGGTAGTGGACCCCGAGCATAGTCGGATGATGATGATGAGTGATCTTTGGATTATAGGCCAGTAGTTATAAATAACTGTTGTAAGGCTTATAATGTCTTGTTTATGCTTTTGATCTGTATCGGAACATGACATCCCGAGGTTTTGATATAAAAGGAAATTATATATTTCTTAAAGAAAGGTTTTGACAAATTTTTATCATGTTTTGTTTTGGGGACCAATTCTGCAACATCTTTTAAAAAGATTTCTCTGATTTTATTTTAAAAAACATAAATTAAATCGGTTTTTTGGCTGAGAAATTAGGGAATGTCACACAACCAAATAGAATTTTGAATTAATTCCAATTAAATTTACTTTCAACCAAACAATATATGAAATTGGATTTAAATTCCTGACAGATTCTTATTCCAATTCCAATTCCAATTCTTTTAGAAACATTTTAGGAACCAAACATGAAATAGGGTATGTACCAAAATACCCTTGAAGCCTTGAAAAAACTATCTAATATCAGCCAATCTCATCTTAGACATGTGATCGAACTATGCATGGAATTGATTCTTAGTTCGAACAAAAAAAATGAGATAATCATTTGGATCATAAGTTATGTAGAATTACGAATAGTAACTAATATATTAAGATCTTTATAACATATATGCGTCCAAAGCGAGTTCAACATTTTGTCTGTTAGTGTATTAGTGAGGACACGTGATACTTAGTTGGAGCACGTGAAAGTTTGTTAGAAGTTAAGTGGGTGTTTTGGAGTGCACTTTAAAAATTACTTATTTGTTTATTGGCTTTTCAAAAAGTCAATAAGTTAAAAAAGTGTTTGGCAAACACTAGTTTATAAGGAAAAAAAAAGTTATGGTTATTTTTAGTTGCGGAAAAATTGATCGAAAAAAAAAATTCAAGAAAAATAAGAATTTTGAAAATGCGTTTAATTCGTCTATTTTTCTAAATTTTTCACGGAAAATAAAAATTTTATGTTTTCTAAAGCTACAAAGAAGTTGGAAATTTTTGGAAAACCAATAATCATTGTTTTCCACATTTTTCTAATTTCAAATTTTTTCTAAAATATAAACACACACTCACTCCCACCTCTACCTACCCCCACCTTAACACCTCCAACCCACCACACCCACCCCCCCCCCCCCCCCACACACACACACACCTACCCCAACCCCAACCCCCACAAACACACACAACCATAAACAACCACCCACCCCCACCCCCACAAACACAAACACACATCCACATCCACACCCACCCACCCCTACCCCCACAAACACAAACACACATCCACATCCACACCCACCCCCACCCTCACCCCTACAAACACACACACACCCACCCACCCCCAGAAACAGACACCCAACCCAACCCCCAGCCTCACACAGACACCCACACTCACACCCACACCCACCCACACCCCCATAAATACACACCCATCCACCCAACACCACTACCACAATCACTAACCTACCATCACCATCACTACCACCACTACCCCATCACCGTCGTCGTCGCCGCCATCACCACCTCTGCCACAATTTTCGCCGCCACCACCACCACCGTCGCCATCATCGACACCACCACTGCCCCCCATCGCTGCCCCCACCCTACCACTGCTACCGTTCTCTAAAAATGAAAACCGATAGAAATATACACATCTAAATGTGTTTTATAATTTTTCTAAAACTGAAAATGAATAAGTTTTTAACTAAACGCGTTTTCTAAATTTTCCAATGAAAACTGAAAAAGAAAAACGAAAATTGTAAAGGGAAAACGAAAAACGAAAAATGGAAACTGTTTTTCCATAAATAAACGCAACCTATGAATTCCTTGTTTTTCCAAAAAGTCAATAAGCATTTTGAGAAGCAATCTCAAACACACTCTAAGTTGAGTTAGTTTTCTTCTGTATATAAGCTTTGTAGAGATTATATCCAACTTAACCTTTATTCAATAATAAAATCTCTCTCTCTCTCTCTCTCTCAAATTTGCTGCAAAATCACTCCATCCTACCAGGGGACGTTGCTTTCGATCATTCTTGTGAAATTTGTTATGAAACTAGACAACACAAGCTTCGCTTTGGTCATGGCATTATTCATAGATCTTCTCCACTTGAAGTCATTAACGTTGACACGTGAGATCCCTATGATACAAAATGCTACAATGTTCAATCATATTTCTTGACCGTTGTTGATGATTTTTCACCAACAACATGGACTCATTTGTTAAGCAGAAAAAGTAATGCTTTTAATGTCATCAAACGATTTATTGAGACCTTTGCAACTCAACTTGGAAAGAAACTGGAGACTCTAAGGTTGGCAATGTGCTTGATTTAGAATCGAGTAACAAGCTAAGCAGTTATCGCGGTCGGAATTTCAATAGCGGTCACATGCCGCTATTTGAAATCGCGGTTATCGCGGTGGTATAGCAGTGGTATAGCGGTTTTTTAATATTATGTATAATTTATATAATATATTTATACAAAATTTATATATTAGATTATTAATACTATATAGATTTAATATCATAAAAAATCATATAAAAACATAACATAATCTATATATAATATTCTAATATAGTAATAAGGAAACTAAAAGCTCAAGTCGTTCGTGGTTTCTAAGTATCGAAAGAGACGAGAAAGAGAAGTTGTCATTTGTTGCTTTGTAGTTTATAATTAATTATATTTATTTTTTGGACTTATTAAGACAAAGTGTAGTGGACTAATTAAAAAAATAAAGATTTAATACTGAAATAGCAAACTATCGTTTTTTTCTTTGTCAAAGTAGCCCAATGTCTACGAAATTGTAAAAGCGGGTGTAGCGTCACTATAACGCTGATGAGGTTCACGGTAAATAGTGGTCAATGGCACCGCTAATAGCGTCACTGCTATTCATAAACGCTATTTCAAAATAGCAGTTCAGTAACACCGCAAAACGCTATAGCACCGCTATAGCGCGCTATTGATAGCATAGGTAACAAGAGATCTTCATTTTTACACAAAAGGATATAGTTCATAAAACTAACTGCAGACACACGCCTCAATACATCTTTAAAACACCCATGGTGGTTTTTACGTTAATGACTTCATTAGTAATCTAGTCTTAAGATATACTAATAGAAATTAAGATTAAATAATATTGGTATCTAAAGCTTTCACAAGGATTTTTTTGAACTTGAAAATTCTTTAGAAATCAACAATTCAAGTCTTTTACTTTGAAAAATCTTTTTGACCAGACCGGATGTTTTAGGCCACATGCATCTGTCCATTGGTTCTAGGGTGATGCCAAGATGGCCATATGGCGATGATGTGGCAATGCCATTACAATACAACCAGAACAAATAACAATACTAGGGAGTAGGGATGAGATTAAAGTATCATGTCTATCTGCTTAGTTTGTACAAATATAGTTCCAATTAAACACAAACATCCACCAAAGTTTAATCAATTCTACCATCACTACAGATACTAAACATATACCAAACAAGGGTTGTTAACAATGCAATAAGACGCATACTGGCTTTATACATAATACCAAACCAAATCCTACAGCCTTTCTTCCATTACTGCACCAAAATAAACCCAAAAATTAGTTTTAAAGTCTTCTAATTTCAGAAATTGTATTTCTAATTTAACATCATATACCACTTACATCTCATTCAGCATTATGGGATTGATCATGCTCGATAAAATCCAACGCCTCTTCCATGGTGACAACATTGACACGACTAACACGGTTTTTATGCGTGACACCATAAATCTTGTCAGCAACTTTCACCAGTTCAGACCTAAACGTTGTTGTAATGAACTGTGTGTTTGCCATATCAGCCAAACGCCGAACCATATCTACAAACAAACAAACAAACAAATCGTCAACTCCCTAAACAATATACTTGCTATATTCGCAAAAAGACGTAAATGCCCTCAATCTGAAGTATGAGAGAGGGATAGGGTTATTACTTCCGACTGCTGTTCGGTATTGAGGGTCAAGTGCAGCATCGATTTCATCAAAGAGGTAAAAGGGAGCAGGATCGCATCGTTGTATGGCAAATATGAGAGCTAATGCTACCACGGTTTTTTGGCCTCCAGATAACTGCTTCATGGACTGTGTGTCACCTTGTCCAGTAAAAGAAACCTGAAATATCAAATATTATATTTTATTAATAATTCCAAACAACAATTAACATCTAAATGATATATATACACATACATACCTTCACTTTCACTCCAATGTATTTTTCAACGCGTCCCTCTCTATCAGGTAGAGGCCCATCCTCATCATAGTCATTATCAACAGGATCACCATCCTGTTTTGATAAAATAGATAAAGTTAAATATAAAAAAAAATGGCAGAAATTTATAAGTTGTTTAACAAAAAACATAAGTAACAAAAAGCAACCTTCTTCTTCATCATGATCAAAATTCCATGACCACCTTGGACAAGTTCAGAAAATACTTCTCGAAAATGTTTAGCCACACCTTTAAATGTCCGCTCTATAGATTCGTCCTTACGTTGATCCAGTACTGATATAAGCTCTTTGATTTTCTGATACACAAACAACATCACAAATAAATGATATTATGGCATATTTGTGGAAATACAAGGAAACAATATGAGGGCAATTATGTAAAAAGTCAGGACTTAACGGATAAGTGTCGTATGAACAAAGTGTCGTATGAACAAAGTCTGCTCCCTTTTTTTGACAGAACAAACTGTCTGAATGTGCATAAATGACTAATTTGCCCATTAAGTCCATTAAGTCAAAGTGAGGGAGGGAAGATATATAAATGATTAATTACCTCATCACCAGCATCAAGCTCTTGTTGTCGTTTCTGAAGTTCTTCTCTTTGATCTGTAAAGTTTGCATATTGATCAAGTGCTTTCTTGTTTACATGACTAAACTGCTTTAACTGCTCGTTACACTTGTGCAGCATTTTATATAGTTCCTTTATGCTCTTCTTCTTGTGCCTGTAGTAATGTATTTTCACCATGTTTAAAAAAAAGCCACCTTTACAGATTACTAAAAAAAAAACTGTCACTTCAATATCCACATTTGCCATGCATTAGACTAGGATTGGTATTGGTATCTGGTCTGAGTAAAAGACGTAAATACCCTCATCTTCAGTCAAAAATAGCCCAAGAAGTTTAGTTACTTTAAATAAGATGGTGAAGAGAGTACATTACATTTCAAAGGCATCTGATGATAATGGACCCAATTCTCTAATTTTCTTGTTGAACTCTTCTTGTTTTGCAAGCAAAATGTTTTTTCTACTAATAAGTTGTTCTGCTCTTTTATCTTCATTTTGGCGTGTCTTTTCATACTCCTCCAAACGAGCCTGCACTTTAAAAGCAATGTATTATTACCAGAGAACAGTTGAAAATCACTACATACATATACCTGCAACCTTTCATTGAGAGATAGAAAATATATTACCTTTGAATCAGCCTTCTTCTTGTTGATTTTTTTGATTTCCTTGTTGCGATCATCTATGCTTTCAGAAACTCCTGTTGATATTTGAAAAGAAAACAATATAATGCTTAGACAACGAAACCAATTAATTATGTTAGAAACTTGATGTAGAGAATCTAAGGTATTCTGTCTTCTTTCCCCATTAAGAATAAGTCCTAAATTTTTTTACATTCTCTCATTTATTTTAAGGCTAAATGCGAGACATGGCAATGTATTTGCATATTATATATAGCATTCAACTTCCATTTCTTTCTATTACAGCATTTTACTTTCAATTATCTACCAATTATAGCAGTGAAAATTGCTAACATTTTTCAAAGTATAATGCTGTAAATGAAAGTAAGTTGCTATTTCTTGCAATTTTACACCTTAATTATTTTTTAAACAACATTTATCCAGACAGGCAGCACTTAATGGGAAATAAATAAGAAGCAGGGGCTAGAGTGAGTGGTTACTTTTGAGCTGTTTTTTCACTTCTTCAACAGCCATTTTTGCCTCTAGAAGCTCCTGCTTCTTTGCTTCAACTTCACCATTTAAATTATCAGCTTCTTGAGACTGTTGAACTGCCTCCAGTTCTTGTCTCCTTCTAACAAGATTTGTTGATAGATTCGTCTCAAGCTCTGCTTTTCTTGTTTCAATCTACCAATCCATAAAAAAATATATATTATAAAAAAAATCATTAACTATTTTTTTAAATAACTCCAAGCAAAATTATTATATTAGCAAACCTCTACTCGGGTAGCTCTACTGGCTACAAGCCTTTCTTTAAGTTCAGCTATTTCAGGATTCAAACGTGAGAGCAGAGTCTTTTCCTCTGGGCTTAAATGATCAACAAGTTCTGTTCTCATTTCATCTCTTTTCATATCAATATTATTTTTCACTTGCTCGATTTGAGTCTCCACATTTGCAAGCAACTTCCTCTGAAATTCAATCAAAAAAGTTAAAAAAAGAACAAAAAGATTGAAATAACTCATGAAGCTTAGCAATGGAAGGAATGAGGAAACCTTCTTTTCAAGAGCTTTAGAGATGTTAAGGCTGTGCTTCTTAGCATTAGCAACTTCTTGTTTAAGCTGTTCCACTTCTGATTTCTCATGTGCCAGCTCAGCATCATCTTTCTGCTGCTCAGCAACTAATGCATTGATTTCCTTGTCTATAAGTAAGGAGAGTCAAGTCATAACAACACTGTACAAAAGACGTAAATGCCCTCATACTCATCATCAAAAATAGCCTTGGAAAACTTATATCCCATTCTCTTGAAAAATAATAAAAGGTTGAAATACACCTTGAGAATATATAAAAATGAAAAAGAAAAAGGATATCTTGAAGTTCTGATCTGACATTTTGGAGTTCATTTTCCTTTTCAGTGATTGACAAGGCATTTTGTCGAATGAGGTTCATAAACTTAAGCTTTGAACGCCTTTTATCATAAAATCCACCTGTCATACCACCCTTTTTTGCTAACTTGATCACCTGTAACAAATTAAAAAAATTAACAGAAATATATAAATGAAAAAAGAAAAGCAAAAAACAAAAAAGGATAAAACAAAACCTTCAACAGTAATGCAGTCCAAACCATCAGTACGTGCAACACGAGTAGCAACATCCAAATCTCTACAAATCACTGTTCTAGCAAACACCTGAAAAATAAATAAAAAAATAAAAAACTACTATTATTATCACAGCATGAAAAACAGAAAAGGAAACATGGGAAACTGCTAACCTGAGAGAAAGCCTGCTCATAATTGGGAGAATATTTTAATTTCTTGAGAAGAGGGATCACATCAGAAGTTTTTGGATAAGTGACATGAGGAGCTTTGACACGATTAAGGGGTATAAATGTAACTCTACCACCTTTCTCTGCATTAAGGTGTCGAATTACTTGTGTTGAAATGTCATCATTTTCAACCACCACATGGAATAAGCTGCATAGAAAAAAAAAAATACAAGTTTATATATAAGCAAGAAATTTTAGAAAGACAAGTGTCTAGAAAAGACTTTGTGAAAACCTGTTTCCAGCAGTAACTTCAACAGCTGTGAATAAATTTTCATCACATTCAAGCAACTCGATAAGTGAACCAAACACTCCTGTAATGCTGTACTCTCTGCAGATTCTTCTAACTGTACTAATTCCCCTCCTTATATCCTGTTATTTGTAAGATAAAAAAAATAATTCACTTTCATGAATATTGACAACATTCAAATCTTCTAGAAGCAAATATACATTCAATAATATTAAGTACAAATGTATTAAGTATTAACATACCCCAGGAGTAGCATGATCCAAGGCTTTTTCTGCTTTCACAACTTCTGATTTAAGACGCTCGATTTCAGCTGTAATTTCACTTTCTGTTCCCCATAAAGCCCTAAAAAGGTTTAAAAAAATCAGCAGCTGATACATTTAAAATGAAATAATTCAATTAAAAAGAAAAAAAAAGGTATACTTTCGCTTATCATGAAGCTCATCTCTTTTTGACTTATGTTTATTGAAACCTTTGCGATAACTAGATATTCGAGCTTCTAAAGCATTTATCTCCTTTTGACGATTTTTGACATGTTCTTCTTGTGCTTCCATATCTCTCTCAAGTTTACTGATTTCATCATTCAGTAGATTCTCCTATTATAATATAACAAAAGGAAACCGTTTTATAGTTAAGATCTCACAAACATTATTTCCATTCATGTATATGTATATATGTAATGTAATGATTATACATACCTGTTTCTCATTTGAGGACAAAACCTTGTTATACTTATCAATATCTTTTTGTAGCCACTCATCACGTGCAGCTTTAGAACGAAATTGTGTTGCACGACCTTGTTTCTGATAGAGTACACTCAGCTGCTTTTCTTTTTTCATAATTCTGTCATAGAAACAAATCAAGACCAAAAAAAAAGTCAAGACTGAAATTAAGAAGAAAAACTAAAAAGTCAAACAGAAAAAGGAAAGTATGAAGAAATACTCTTTGGTGATGTCCTCCTCTGCTTTAACTTGTTTGTCATATAAAGGTTTTGTTTTGTTTAACTCTGATGTGGATTCCTTGATTTCTCTCTGAAGAACCTCAAGCTGCTTTCCAGCTTCATCCTACACGTAAAATTTTATATTAGAAAAGTAGAACAGCTTCCTGAAATATCCACAAGTTCTTCCACATCCTTGAATTTTGTATAAAATTATAGAGATAAACATATGTGAAGTGATTTAAACTGTTATAAACTACTTAAGATATTGACTTTACAAAAGTGACTTTTATGATGAGATAGGCCTCTACTCGTATTGTTCTTATTTCTTTACTTTAGGGTTAAATGCAAGAAATAGAGATGTACTTTCAATTATTTATTTATTATAATGCCCTAATAAGAAACAAATTAGATGTACAATGCTACAAGTAGGTAGATTATCCAAAGAACAATGCCTCTTTAATAAATAAATAAATAAAAAGTTACTCTGCTGTAATAGAAAGAACTACAAGTAGACTGCTATAACACATACTATCTCTTTTTCTTTTAATCTCCAATGAAATGCAAGAAATTGCAATGTACTTTCATTAATCTGTTTATTATAACATATTAACATTAACATCATACTTAATCTTTTCCTATTACAGCATTGTATTTTGAAAAATCTACCCAATTATAGCAATGCCATCCATATGAGAAGCCTTTTTCACTGCTATAATTGGGTATATTTCTTAAATTCAGTTGTCATAATAAGAAAAAGATTGAAAGTAGAAGGCTATAATTGGGTAGATTTTAAAGAACATCGCATTAGTAAGAATAAAAAATCGAAAGTACAATGCTTTAATAGAAATAAATGAGCATAAGATGCTATAATCCACAAATAAATTGCTATTTCTTGAATTTAGCCCTATAATCTATGTGAAGTGTTTATGAAGTTAAAATAATACCTTTGCTTTACTACTCCCAATGATTTTCTCTTCAAGGTCTTTCACATCAAGCTCAACCTCAGTGTGCTTTTTAACAGCTACTGTTCGTTGTTTCTCTATTGTCTGTTTCTCTCTAGTCAAACCCTGAACTTCTCTGGTCAAATCTTTAAATGACTTGTCTAATTTCTTTACTTCTTCCTCTTCTTCAACTGATGCATTATACTTCCTAACTAACTCCTCAGAAATCGCATTTCTCTCCTCATCCACCTGGCATCAAATGAGACATGTTTATACTTTATACAGCTACAAATCCAAATAAATTAAAAAATTAAAGAAAAGAATTTACCTCAACCAATTCCTTTCGTGCATCGTTAAGTTCTTTATCATAAATGGTGTATTCTAGAGACTTCCTCTGTTTATCAAGCTGTTGATACTTTTTCAACTCTGCTTTCTCTTCATCCAGCTCTCTTAATCTCTCATCCAAGTATTGCACAACTTGAATTATCTGGTTTCTCTTGTTTCCTGATTATATACAAAATTCAAGAAAAAGCATCTGGTATATGAAAAGTATAAAATTCAAAACAATAACTTGCCAGTTTCTTGCATGATTTTCAAGCTTTCACGCCTTCTCTCTTCATAAACTCGGGTCCCACCAATTTCCTTCAGTAGATCAAGTCGTTCAGCATCTTTCATCAAAGTCAATGATGCAATCTACAATAAACTCATGGGGATTATTTATTATCAACAGCTTAATTATATACACATCAAAATCAAACAAAGGAGATGCCATATTATTTCCTACCTTCCCCTGTTGCACAACATAATATGGATTGGAACGGGAGAACCCTGCACTTTCTAGAAGATTCATAACTTCAGTTTTCCTGCAATTTTGTTGTTAAAACACTTATTAATATTAAGGGTAGAAGTGGAAAGATTATTATTCATATTGTGGTACTCACGTGATATGCTTCCCATCAAGAAAATATTCATCCTTTTTTGTCCCGATTGTTCTTCGTAGATGCACCTCCTCTTTATCGACCTTCAAGTGGTAGAAAAGAATTCAGCAACCAAAATAGAAATTAGGGAAAATGTTTTATTAAATTAATAAGTAGGTGATGAAGATTTACTGGGATGCGATTGTCAGAGTTATCAAACACAATCTCAACAAAAGCTGAGAGAACTTGGTGTCCTGCTCCTTCCTGAGAAATGTTAATATAAAAAGTGGTGATTAACTTATCAAAAACCAATTAATATATGATTAATTGATAGGTCATAAAAACATAAGCAAGGAGCATACATGGAGGAAGGCGTGTTTATCTTCATTACGTAGGTTATGAAAGAGGTCGCTTATCACAAAACGAATTGCTTCAGGAATAAATTAAGTAAGTTAGAATGTAATTCTCAATTAGTTAGAAATTAGATGATTGAAATATTATGCTACACATACCTGAAAAGAAGTTTGATTTGCCAGATCCATTTGCACCAACTGCAATATATGAACAAACAGTATTTATGAGCATAAGAAGTAAAGATAAATATGAATGAACAGCATATAAGCATAACAGAAAAAATGAATGAATATCATTACCAACACAGTTAACTTTTGGACTGAAATCATCAGTTGCAACTTGTTCTTTGTAGCTCTTAAACCCTTCGATGATGACCTTCAGTATAACCCACACACAATTGTCAAAATAAAGATGAGAGAAGGGGAAAGAATAAGTCAAAAAAGAGGAAAACCAGAAGAGGTCAAAGGATCTAGAACAATTACCTGCTTTATGTACATTTTGATAAACCTAGCTTGTTTGAACCTAACACATAATCATCTTGAAAAGTGCATCAGTGCAAAAAAAACATAACTAATATGAAAACACAGCCTAATAGTGGAAGCAAGAAGTAAACTGTAAGTGCCTGCTTGACACAGTGAGTTTTTGACAATGACAGCCTTGAGAGTGAGAATAGAAGATAATGAAAAACTCAAATTCGTTCCAACCCTGATTCTATGTTTGTAATCAATGGACAATGGATAACTTTATAAAGAAAACTAACCCTAAAATCGGCTATAAATCCTAATAGATAATCTTATAATTAATGGAAAACTCAATTACTCAAAACTGGAAAGTGGAAACATCGCATATTCGCACATACCATTTCAGTTCTTGTCTTCTTGACAGCCTTGAAGTTTTGAGTCTTCTAAAGTTTGAACAGTCAACAATGGAGAATCAGAGGACAGAGAAGGAATCAGATTGAGAAGCCGAAGGTATTTTTCAGAGAATGGACAATCAATCAGAGAATGGAGAAGGAATAGAAGAAAAAGAAGTGAAGAACAATAGGTATTATTCAGAATCAGTTTTCAAGAATCGATTATCAGAAAATGAGAAGGAAGAAGAACTGTCGCTCACTTGTAAGAATCGAGACTTTCAATTTTGGCTGATGATTTTTGTGGTCTGCGTGACTATGAAAGGAGAAGAAAGAATCGAGATCTGCTAAAGTATCTTGTGGTAAGTAGGCCTTTTAGAATTAGGGCCCTAAGCCCTAACTTAGTTATGAATAAGGTAAGGCCGGCCCGCCCTCAAAGCATGAATGAGGGTATGAACAAATCTCGATGTCTATGTATGATATTATCAAACAATAGCAACCGGTAAAATTCAATATGTTTTCATTTCAGCTTCAAGTTCTTCAGGATACCAAATCAAGCACACAGCAAAACTATGTAGAAGAATTGGATTACATAGCATCCAACTTTGGGACTCAATTCATACTAAATTTTGCAAAAGATCATCTAAAAAACTACCATAATGGCAAAATTTTGTACTCAGAAGTGCGTAAACATCCTGAATCAAATCACAAACACTACCATGTAAACCCTCGCTACATAAGACATATATTTGCACTTCATTCAGCAAAAATGATTGAAAGATACTAAACCTTGTTGTGACCAACTTGGAGGAAATGAAAGCAAGCTTAGATCTGGACCTATCACAAGGATATGGTTTCAGATTTGGACCTTCTTAGGCCCCAAATATCATAAAGTTGCATCTTTTATTGAGCTCATTCCCTCTCCATGCATAAGAACCTTGTTTGAAGGTTAGTTTTGGTGTTATGGCCATGTGAGGCTATGCATGCACGTAAAGTTTGCAACTTTACGTGATATCTTCACTAGGAGAGTATGGATCTGAAGTTTGAAACCTTAAATCCCACTGGAAAGAACCGATTATGTGAGAACTCGTCGAATCCCTCTGATGACTCGATGAGTCGAGAGGGTTCACGACCAAGGTTTTACGACCAAGGGTTCACGGCCAAGGGTTTACGGCCAAGGGTTCACGGCCAAGGGTTCACGGTCAGGGGTGTACGGTCGGTGGTTTACGGCCGTAAACACCAAGGAACTCGACGAGTCCCTCGAGTGACTCGGCGAGTCGACGGGTTAAGCAGGGAACCCAACGAGTGAATGATTGTACTCGACGAGTCAAGGTCAATATGGACTGTCGACCTTGACTATAGACTTTGACTTTGACCAGGGTTGACCCTGGGGGTATTTATGGGATTATGCTGAGATATTTACTCATTGATTATAGACAGTTTGGGACGAGCAGCGTGGGATATATCCGACTACAGTTTGTCGGTTCAGCATTTGGGAGGTGAGTCTTCTCACCATATCAATGAGGACAAGTTTTGAACTTTATCAAAACATTTGGATTTAGAATTCAAATCTTTCAAAATCAAAATTTTAAATTCTAAAACTTGAGGGCAAGTTTTGAAACTTTTCAAAACACTAGGGTTTAACTATTTAAATTTCAAAAACAAAACTTTTAAGTTCAAATTTAAACTATAAAACCTAAAGGGTAAAATTGAAACTTTTCCACAAGATAATTCAAATCTAAATTACAAATAATCAATCTTTATCTAATAAAACAAAAGATTATCTAAATTTTGACAATTATCTTCTATTTTGGCAAGGATAATCACCCAATATAGATAAAATTCGGATTTTATTGACAAAAAACGTTTTAGGTAATTATCCACAGCCAAAACAGGTCAAAATCCCGCAAAAACAGCATTCTGCGTCTCAGACTCGTCAAGTCAGCACTGGACTCGTCGAGTTCACAGTGGACTCGGCGAGTTCAGCCATGGACTCGGCGAGTCCAGCCCCCAGAAACTCAAATTTTTCGATTTTAAGCATGAATAATCAACTATAGCATCAACTACATCAAACAAACAACCCTAGTCTCTGATACCACTGATGGGTTTTGAGCACTACATCATTCCTATGGTGTACATGCAAACCCTAATAGCTTTTGGATCTAGTTTGTCTAATGAACATGCAATTGAATATCCAAAGCTATAAATCCTAGATCTAGCATACAATTAATCATATTAACATAAAATAGGGTTTAGATCTAACCTTTGATTGTTGTATAGCAATAACAATCTATTCCTTGGCTTCATAAAGCTTAGTGCCTCAAGTGTTGCACCTCTAATGGAGTCACAAACACCACTAAGCAACTAGATGAAGAAGAAAGAGAATGAGAACTCCAAAAACGTCCAGAAACCCTCTTGAAAAGGTTGGCCGCGTTTTTGGGGCTTAGGGGTTCTTTATATACTTAGGCTATTAGGGTTTTGAACTTAGGAAACCCTAATCTGACTGCTTAGGCCCTAAGCAGCCCATGGACCCCTTTAGAATATCCCTTGGACGAATTCCTAATGGGCTTCCCATAGAATTCGTCCAACCTATTATTCTTAGGTGATTCATAGCCCAATTGCAATTATCTTATAATTACAACTCCAGTCCCTTAAGTTTAATTAATCTATTTTAGCCACTAAATTAATTTTTAATTAATTCTTGACTAATATTAATTAAACAATATGATTTCTCCTTTAATATATTATTCTCATAATATATTAATAAATCATAATTAAACCTTTCTCTTCTTAATTCATCCTACAAATTGCTATGGTGAAGGCAACCCAAAAGGACCATGCTCATAATCGGGTCAAGTACATACCAAAATAGTTATGGACTTAGACACTAATCCAACAGTTCGGCCACCAATACAACTTCTTGAGGTCTAAGTACATCTTGTCTGAGCCGGGATGCACGGAGTAGCGAGTTTTATGAGCTTCGTCCATGACAACATCCCTGAATCCACCAAATTTTGGTGTCTAGATCCGGTTCATGAGACAACGAACTCCGTCATCCCTGACTTCAAGATTTTTGTCCATTCCTCTCAACGCTTCACCTGCCACGTTCTATGGTTTTAAGGCTTCTTCCTATGCCTCTTTGATTTGTGCAGACAGGTGTGAATGGATGGTCAGGGTTAACGCTTTTACTCGGCGGCCCGAGTATTCCTTTCTGCTCAAGGCGTCTGCAACCACGTTAGTTTTTCCAGGGTGATAACGAATCTCACATTCGTAATCGTTTAGTAATTTCACCCATCGTCTTTGTCTCATGTTGAGTTCTTTTTGATTGAGGATATGATAAAGGCTTTTGTGATCGGTGAAGATAGTGCACTTAGTGCCGTAGAGGTAATGTCTCCAGATTTTTAGGGTGAAAATTACTGATCCTAGTTCGAGATCGTGCGTCGTGTAGTTTACCTCGTGTGTCTTCAGTTGTCTTGAGGCGTAGGCAATGACCTTTCCTCGTTGCATTAACACACATCCTAGAACTTGGTTTGACGCATCGCAATAAACCACAAAGTCTTCGTTTCCATCTAGTAAGGACAAGATCGGAGCACTGCACAGGGTTCGTTTCAGGGTTTGGAACGCAGCCTCTTACTTATCCCCCCAGACGAAAGTCACTCCTTTTTGAGTCAAGGTGGTGAGTGGTTTTGCGATTTTGGAGAAGTTCTGAATGAATCTTCGATAGTAACCAGCGAGTCCTAAAAATTGTCGGATCTCCGTGGGTGTTCTTGGTGCTGCCCAACTTTCAATCGCCTTGATCTTTGAAGGGTCCACATGGATTCCTTCCTTTCTTACTACATGTCCGAGGAAATTCACCTCTCGAATCCAGAACTCACACTTTGAGAACTTTGCGTACAATTTCTCCGCCCTCAGCGTCTCCAGGACTTGACGTAAATGCTGGCTGTGTTCTTCCTTACTTCGGGAGTAGACTAGTATATCATCGATGAAAACAATCACGAACTTGGTTAAGTAAGGCGACCTTATGGGACACTCTAATATTTGAAAAATGAAGTTGTAATGAATATGGATTTGAAACAATTGTTTTGGAATTTCTTGATTTATGGGGATGTGTTTGGTTAATTAAAAATGAAAAATTTCTTTGAAAAATTGGGTTGTTACATGGAAAATGATGAAAAATTAAGATGAATTGGTATACCTCGTTTAAGAAATTGAATGGCAGTCGGAGATGTGGAAGAATTAGAAATAAAGACTTTGAGTTGAATTCGAAGGGAGAATGGTCGATTTATAATAGGGATAATAAGGTTATTTTATTTATTTTTATAATTAAAATGATTCTAAAACATAAATAACGATTTTAAAATATAAAATAGTTATTTAAAAAATAGAATATGGCAAATATGATATTTTAAAAGTTTATGAAGGGTAAATATGATATTTAGAAATTAGCTTGGACAAATATGATATTTTGATGTTTATAAAGGGTATATACGAAATTCTCCCTAAAAAATAAATAGGTTTGGGTAAGGTTTTGAAAAGCAGACAGTAAATTTAGTTTGTAATTTTATCAGTTCAATGGGTCAACGGGTCCAGTTGGATCGGTCTCAAAAATTGGATGATGTTATAATTACATTCAAGGCAAATTACACCAATCATTCATCATGCATGTATCAAAACGCACGTTTAGTCTCTATTTTCAAAAATTAACTTCAGCCGTCCATGGGTTTGTTTTTTCTTGCACGTTTAGTCCCTCCGGACATAAAAAGACTATTATGCTCTAAACATTTTCTTTTACTCATTTAATATTTTTAGATTAAAAACAAAAGAAAAAAAATATCTTCACCCTCCTTCCCCATTTTCTTTCCCAAGTCTACATTCCTTCTCCGACGAGACCAATTAATTACTTTCGGAGCTTCAGCGCCACCAGCCACCTCCGTCTAAATAATACTTGAAATCCAACCCCACCAGCGACAAAGATCACAGACCCAAAAGTTGTTGAAGCTTTAGTCTAACCCCAGATCAAATAATACAAAACCCACAAAGGAAACCAACATCTGAAATCCAATCCAAATGAAGCCAACCCAAAAAACGTTTCAAAAATCAAAATAAATAAATCAAACAACTTGAAACTCAAATGGTTCCGGGAATCAAAAATAGTGGTGGATCTGAGACGATCCAGTGGGGTAAGAGACAACTGTGATGGAGAAGGCTTCGGTGATGCAAACAAAATCATCCCCACAAAACCCTAGAATTATTTTTTCCAAGCGCGATATTTGACGGGGGTGGATTGGAAGGGAAGAAGAGATAGCTTGATAGAGACATAGAGGTTCCATTAACAGGCAACGTTAGTGGCTTTAGGGGGAGGACGGTGGTGGTTTGGAGGCAACGCTTGTAAATAAGAGGCGATAACGGTGGTTACTTGCAGGGATGACATTCTTGGTTTGAAGGAGACTATGACTGAAAGGAGAAGAAGACTGCAACTACGTCATCATGTTATCCGCTCTCTCTTCTCTATCCTCTTTATAAACCCCGGTAGCTCCCACGTTCCCCCCAAAAAAAACTCTTTTTATCTCTTTTACTAATTCCAAGATTAGTGATTACGAGATATCTTTTAGGTTCCTATAGAATTCAGTGATAACAAGATCTAGAACAATGAGTATG